ATCCAATCCTACTTGATTTGAATATACTACATACGAAGTACTTGATCCTGAGTGCCACACAGCTGGATTTGATGCAACTCCATGCAACACCCTGAGGGCAACAGAGCGTGCGTCGGGCCACTGCTCAAGAGCCGCCCACTCACACATGCTGATGCAGCTGCAGCTCGTCTGCCGGCGGACGACAATGTACAACCTGGCCAACATGGTGCAGGGAGGCCAGGCCATGTTGTTATTATGCGTCCGGTGTGGCGCATAATGCAGCTAATCTGGGGAATTAGGTAAAAAGGCTGACAAAAGCCCGGCAAAGGCAATCTAACGTCCAAGTGGGTTGCGATATTGCTGCAGTTGCTCCTGATGCTAGTGCTGCTTCTGCTGCAACATTGCAATTTCGTATCCTATTACGCAAAGTAACTTGCCCTGAATTCCGAGCGACCATCGCCCTGCCAAGTGTCCCGATGTCCCCGTTCTATTTCCCATCCCTTTTCTTGCAGCCTTGCCAAGGATTTACGGCAGCGGCGGACAGTCAAAGTAGCTAAGCGAATTAAAAAAGTAAACTCCAAAGTAAATTAAATGACAGCCAAGTTGTGGGGGCCAAAGGAAATGAGAGCTGGGGCCCAGGATCAGGCCCAGGCTGTGGATGATAAGACGCTAAGCCCTGGAGAAAAGGCCGACAACGAGGACAATGATGGTGAGGAAAGAAGCAGCCAGGAGCTGGAATATCTGCAGCTGAAGGAGCTGTGGCGACCGCAGCGAGAAAATGTTTTAAAATGAAATCACTTTTAATGAGTCATTCAAGTGGCATGAAGAAGGCAACAGACTCGACTCCTATGCCCCCTGCCTGATGGTCCTCCGAGCCTCAATTGCTCGACTTGACTAGCCAGCCAGGCAGCATAAAAATAATAATTTTTACAGAGCAACAAACAAAAAGAACAACGAAAAAATGATGGTGTTGCAAGTTTGTTGAACATTGTAGAAGTTTGTATACGCTTTGAGGTGGAAAATTAAGTTTCTAAGAAGATTTAATATTTATATATAAAACTTTACATATTTTTTAATTAGTTAAGAGCTAAGACTATAAGTCTTTTTAGTTAGATTTGGTTTATAAGATTGTATCTTTCTATGATATTAAATTGCAATCTTTCTTAAAGAGTCTCCTTACAAAACCCACTACCTTTAAGCCACTCTTATAAGGACTCTGATAGCATTAGAGTTAAGGATTACAAAATATTTAAAAAATTAGGTTAACATACAAGTTAAAGCACCTTTACTAAGGGTATTAATAGATTGCCCAGAAAAGGAAGGCAGAGCAATAATAATTTCGCGTACGGACACTGCCAAGTGGAAGCGCCAAGCTCCAGGAAGCGTCAGTCGCCACTAGACCCGCCGCCGCTGCCGTTTGCCGCCTCCACCCCAGCTTACCAGCTACCCCCTGCCAGACCATCCATGGTTGGGCCACCAGCGCAGGAAATCACTGGCAACAAGGCAACAAGTGGCCACCGCCGACTCTCTCAGAGATTCAACTCCTGCGGCCATTTCACTTTGCTTTTCATTTTATTGCTAATTTTTTTTTTTTGCGCTCTAACAGCGAGTTTTTGCAAATTATAATGACAGCCCCCAGCTCAGAGACGCGGAATACTACTACATAGTGGCAAGTCTGTTAGTGTCGAGTGCCGGCCGGGGGTTTGGTCAATGGCGGGGGCGAATAGACATTTAATGAAACGAAACGACAACAAATTGTTTAAACATTATTTGCGCTTTCCCTTTGCCATTTTGCCTTTCTTTTTCCTTCCTTTCATTTCCTCCTTTTTTTTTGTACTTTTTGTTGGCAATCTTTCTTGGCCCGTTCTATGATTTTTTTTGTACTATACACTTTATTGTTAATAAACAGACATTACAAAGCAGATAATGAACGACAAGGAGTACTAGCACTGGGGACCTGGCCGAAGGGAAATTGAAATTGTGGGCGCTTTGACAGCAAACTGGAAAATCATTCACCCATTAATTTTTAAGAAGAGTTAAAGGATAGAAAAGGATACTATATACTTTAATTAATTTCTATAAAAAATATTCAATTTCGACTTGTTCTTAAAATAGCTTTAATAGGATTAGACACCATAATAATTGCTGGACTATTTTTTTGCCAAACTCGTTTTGTTATCCTTGATAGTTGGACGTCCTTTCAGCTTTTATTCAGTTAGTCCTTTCCACACTTTAATCCTTTCGACAGTTCGTCCAACTGTGAATGATTTCACTTAACGCTTTCTGGATAGGAAAACAATGTTATCGCTTAATACTTATATTTTCCTGTCATTTAATTTCTTTTCCACTTGGTCCATTCTGCATTTCCCTTTGATGCTGAGTCGGCAAGTGCTTAGTGGGGCTGGCTGGATCCAGCCCGGTTTTATGGTTCTTTGTTTTCGCGCCAAATGCTTTGAAAACGATTCTGTTCAGCGCGATGCCAAATAGAAAATCATCATAATTTTCCTTTATTACCAGAGTTTTTACCCATTTGCCATAGTTGTTTCCATGGCTTTTATGGACAAACTTTAGACCGATTTCAGCATCAGTTTTGTTGTCGCTGTTGCTTTAATTGCCATTGTCATGGCTGGGATGGGCTTGGCTTGCTCATTGTTTGTCACAGAAAGCAGACCCACTCAGCAGACCCCATCAAATAAGAGGAAAAAATAACTTTGTCGGAAACTCCTTTGATTTGTTTTCAGCACAACAGTATAAAAGTTTTGTATGAGCCATCCAGCCCAAAGACTCCTACCTCCTACCACCTACTACAAGCTGAGAAAAAAAGGAAAATCCCTTCCTTGTATGTGCGGCTGGTGCGAACTTTTGAAGACAAAACATTTTTGAGTTATTAATGAAAAGTTCCGGTGAACATGCAGGCCAGGCAGGACAGGGCAGGGCAGTCGTCCTGACTTCAGTTTATATAACAAATACAAGTGCTAACTAAATGTTATGCTTTCATTATGCTCAGTAGCTCCATGAAAACTTTCCAGCAACTTTCCTACACCTCTACTTTTAGATCTCCTCCAGCAGATCCACCTCAAGGTGATGATTGGCTTACCTAATTCCCCTCCTGTTCTATTGAATTTCTGTTTTGTTTGGTCCGCCCACTCAGGTGGCTTAGTGGAATTTTACTTTTTATAGACACGCATTTGTTTGCCTAAAGTGCACTTTTTAACTAACTTGTCTAACGCAACTAATGAAAAGATTTGTTATTAGTTTTGGTCCAGCACTGGGGCTGGTGCAAAAAGTGGCAGCCACACACCAGCTGCCGGTAACTTTGCCCAGGGAATTATACATAAACATTGGACCAAACCAAGCAAAGCTCCACAGCCAACACACACACTATATAGAATACACTACAAACTATACACACACTAGGTACTGTGTGTGAGGTAGGAAATAAAAAGAAATATGCTAGCAACTTGAAAAAGTAAATAAATATTTGAACAACTTCTTATGGCCAACTATTTGTTTGGCAGACGAAAAGAACAAGTTTTTGGGCGAAAACCAAAGCAAAAAGGTGAGTTCAATTCTGCAGCAGGAGTGCGCAACTTTCGAAGCCATTATGTGAAAGTTTTATTTCTCCTCCTTGGCCAGGAAGGAGGGCCTGGCAATCGACAAGTTTTCCTCTTGGGTTGCTCTAGGTTAGGGAGGAATTGGATTGGCAAATTGTTCGGCACATAATTTTAGAGGCAATTTAACGAAATCAAATTTAAGGGAAATTCTTTTTCAAAGAATGTGTTGAATGTGATTTTGCCATTTAGGTTTAAAAATTAAATATATTATGGGGATATTTTTGTTTGTTTTAAGTTGTTGCATTATAAAATAGACAAAACTAATATAAATTATTTGCAAATAGTTGATTGGTTCTAATTATACACATTCCTAAGCTTTGGAATGAAAAAACATTTTATAGTTTATTATTAAACAACAATTTCAAACATTTATTCATAAAATCAATCACTCTATTTGAATAATTTTTAGCTAAAATAAGCTTTAATCAATTTCCAAAACATTTCTGAATGAATTTGGAAACTTTCAATAGATCTTCCATATCAGTTAGTGAATGAGTTTGGGCGTTTTCAATAGATCTTCTCCACCACCCAAGTGGCTTTAAACAAATTGTTCGACGAACCAAATGGCTTGTTTAATATATTAATAAAAGCCATTCAAAGCCTTGTTCGAGCAGCTCTAAAAGCCACCTTAATATGGTCATATGGCCATAAACCCGACCCGGGCCATTGTTCGCACACACAATTGGCATATTAAATTACCGCTTTTGTAGGATATTTAACATAACATCACTAACCGATGCTATTTTTGGCCTTGGTTAGGTTATCTAAACAGATAATTAAGTCCGCTTTGAGCCGCGGCTGTCTCCCAGCTGATTGATTGACTTTATCGGCCGTTTCTGCTGGGGTCTTATCAACACTCTGCCGGAGTCAATCTTTTTGGCCTGGCCCGTCTCCTGGCCCGTATCAAGATGCAGTCAGAAAATGCATAAAAACGTATCTCACAGCCATAGCCACAGCAAGAGGTAGAGCCAGAGTCACAGCAACGACAATAACCAGAACGTAGGTAAGAGGCTCTCAGATTAAAACGAGTTTTTAACGGCAATCGTGTAGGCCGAGGAGTGCCATCTTTATGGACAGGTTAAGACAACTTCCTGCGTCTCCGGGCCCCCATGGCGAGGAGTTGCTTGATCGACAGTTCGACATGAAAATGAAACCAAAAAGGATGACACACCAGCAAAACATTTCATGGTATTTTTTATATAAATTAGTTGTTTATTTAATTCGAGATCTAGATTCTAGATTATAGAGGAAGTACATAAGTTAACAAAGTCAGTTGATTGAAAAGTGTGTAAACAGAAATATTATACAATTTATTGCACAAACATCTATGAATTTAAGTTTTCTAACATCAATTATTTATAATTTTTATTTGATAATTAAATTAATTTCTTTGATGGATTTGAAAGAGCTTCCAGCTAGCAAAGTTGACACCTTCCTTCATTTGTTTAATAACCTTGACATCTGGCGTCGCTCCAGGTGTTTCTTCAATCATCATGGCCGAGTTGTAATGGCCACCCGCATTCTGCAGTTTTATGACATTTCCAGATGGCTGGGAACAACAATTTAAAAATGCATGTAATACTTGTATATAATTTGATTAATAACGACAGCTGAAACAAAAAGTCGAGTACTAAAAATTGAATGTGTTGATATGAATAATTGATACTTATATCGTATGCACGTATCGTGCTTGCAACAAAGCTATTTCCAAATTAAAATCATTGCATCATTTTTTTATTACTTTCATTACCTGGTCATCAATTTGTAATGAGTATTCCATAGAATCAAATAAAAAACGGCTGGAAAAAAGCTGCATTTTGAATCAATATCAATATTCATTGTTAAATGCTGCAAAAGAATGTGTATTTATGACTGAAATGATTATTGTAAATTATTAAGGCTGTGGGAAAAAATTGAAAATCAATGGATTAATTATATTTCAGCTTCCACTCCAGGGTCCAGGTCCACTCCAGAAACCAAACCAAACCAAACTACAACAAAAGCGCCATCGCCTGTGAAAGAAATTGCAGGAAAGAAACACAAAGTCTGGCCAAGAGGGTCCAGCATTATATATATACGTAAAGGATTAGGTGGATGGAGGGGGATTTGGCATTTGGGAGTTGGTTTCGACATTGCCACTCGGGCACTTGCCATTTGCCACTGGCAGTAAGAACCAGCAGAAGCAAAGCTCTACAAAAAACTCCATAGCGAGCTGTGAACACGCAGCTAGCAAAATACTCTGGCAGAAGCCAAAGCCTGGTAACTGCAGGTGAAAATGGATTCTGAAAATTGGGTTAATTGATGCTTAGTGTTTTGCCTCCGCGGCTGGGTTAAGTGGGTCTGTTGGTGGGGCAAGGGGGCGTGGTTATTTAGCGCCAAGTGGCTAATAGTTTTGTGCCACCCCAACCCACCCCACCGCCTAACCGGAAACCGGAAATGCGCACAAGGAAGTACACACAAACATTCACACACCATGCCAAATGCCAAAATGGCAATGTCGTCAGAGGTTAAAAGGGAAATAATGGAATAGGGAATGGGGGATGGGAAGTGGGTTTTCGGGTTAACTTGGCTAAGAGGGCCACATAAACGCCATATACATGTAATTAGTATTTGGGCCATTGTCGAATTATACACACCAGGACTGCCCTGCTCCGTAAGATTGGCTATAAGTGTGGTGGCTGGACCGCCACCCACACCGCCTCCAGTGGCTCCTCCACTGCCGCCCCCAGCTGGCGAAGCACCACCGCTGCCAGCTGCACTGCTGGCACCACCCGCCGCCGGTTCCAGGGCCAGGACAACAGGCAGCAGCAACAGTGGCAGGGACAGGGTTAGGACCATCGATGCACCTCTAAGCGCTGGCCATTGCCTCCTCATCTTGCAATTCGGTATTTTGGCTATGTGCTTGTTGTACTCCCGCACCGGCATCAACATGTTCCATTGGTCGGTGCTCCTTGGCTCCTTGGCCCCGATGGCGCTAATTGTGGACGATGCTCTGATAATAAAAGAAGGGAGAAACTAATATTAGCAATGAATTGGCTTTTTGGCTAAAATGCAATTACGGCAGCGGCTATACTTGTCCCTAGTCATCTTCCCCACACAGTTACTAAATTATAAAATCGTGTAGAAAAATCATTCTAGTAGCTACAAATGGCCATCTGGCAGTAGCAGTTGCAATTAATGTTTATGGAAAGTTTATTGTTGCATCACGCAGCACACAAACACACACACACACACATGCACACGCAAAAATGTATCTCAATGTTGTCTGGATGGCTGCAATTAAAGTTCTTGGGTCTCCTGTTTAACCGACATCTGCTTGGCAGATATCTCGGCCGAACATCAAATTACACATTTGGCATATAAATTGCTCAATTTCATGTATTTTGCCAGTGTCACAATGTCATTATACGCCAGACACACCCCTGAGTCGGGGGGGGGCGGGCAAACGCTAATGTATCTTGCAGATACAATTGCTGAAATTGCACTTTTAGCACTTAACCGAAACAGGCCTTACAGTATCTCTTGGTTTATCGTTATTTCATTGCCTTAAATTATCGATTTATGAGCCGGATTTTTACGTTTTTTAATTTATAAGATTTACACCTTGCCGGCTTTTATTTTTTCGGCGACTTTCAGTTGCTATCTCTTTGTTTATATTTATGCATTGCACTTGCTGCCAAGGGTTATTGTTATATATATTTTTGTTGGTGTTGTTCCTGCTGCTGTCGTAGCCAGTGCTTTTGTTACATTTATAAATGGTTTAGAGCACACATGTGCTCCTCATACACACACACGCACAGCTGTGGCTACAATTTGTAACTGTAGCGCATTTATAAACGCTGGCTAGATGGCTGGCTGGATGGCTCCTTGGGTGCCTGGCTGTCCTTGCTATCCAACAACAAGGATGTTTTCCCTTTTCCCCGGTTTTCCCTCAGTTTGCCGCTATTGCCAGCCAATGTTTACACACACGCTCAAGAACTTTTTGTTGGTCGTCAACAAACCATCAAGCGTTTGCCATTGCTTTGCTTATCAGCTAAGATATAGGACTCTGGCTTGAGGATGAGAGCCCTCGGTCCTTTCGATACGCCGTACGATATAAATGGTTATGGGTATGGGTTGCGGTGGCTCTCCTCGTATTTGATTTACCCTTCGGAAAACGTGCTCACATGCGGTTTTGTTGAATTTTCCAGTTGCCAGTTGCCAGTTTTTTGGATTTTCAGTTCTTAGTTCTCAGGTCTCTCTGGTCTCTGTTCTTTTGCTTTTGTTGTTTCAGTCAATTGCCGCATTTTAAAAACGCATAAAATTGCTTTATGTTTGCCCTTCCATTTCCATTTCCAAAGGGACTCCTTCCTCTCCAGCTCTCCAGCTCCTTGGGCTTATCCTCTGGCGTAAATTTATGCAAGGCGCCTTAGTTAGGTGGTTCCACATACAGACTCGCACATGACAGACGCGTTGGCGTTTTATTCTTATTTTCCTTCAGGTTTTCATCCTCCTCCAGGGCATATATAGATATTTGAATTCTTTTCTTTTTAAAAAAAAATTAAAAAAAATTTAATCCGATGTGAAGAAAATGCAGGCTGCACAGCTGCAGTTACCTGGCCTCTGAGCTCTTATGTATGTCTGGTTTTCCTGGTATCTCGTCCAATCCCAATCCGAATCCGTATCCGTCGTCGGGGTAAGTATCTGTAAGTGGTGCATAAGTGGCAGAGAAATGTTATTGATGATTTATTTGCATTTGGCATTGATATATGCTAATGTTTTGCCCCGACTGCCTGCCTGAATGGCTCACAGCCTTTCTTTGTCTTAGTCAGAAAAATAAAAACAACAAAAAAAAAAAAACGTACTGAACTGAATCGAGTGAAAGAAAATGAAGGAAAAGAAAAGGTTCCTCACGGCCCGGGGGCCATGGATTATGTTATCTTTGGCCGCGCGGCCTGTTGGCTTTTCAATTTTTCATGGCGCGACAGCCACCAGAAGAAATTATTATGGCATTTTTTGTAGTCCATCCCCCTCCACTCTCTCTCCAGGTTTTTCTTAAAGTCATTTTTATTTGCATTTCGTGATTTCGAACAGACAGATAACGCGTTGCATCCTGAGCTAAGAGCCAAAAACGAAGAACGTTGTGTGTCAACTCAAATATTTGATTTAATTCCCTGACATAATAATTAATCACTCGGCACCTTTTACGAGACAACACGCGGTGTATGACCCCGGGCTCTATCCCTCTAGCTTGGTTATTTGTTTATAATTAAATATTATTTGGCAGCCGAAATGAGACAGGCCAGTCGGAGTGGCATTTATCAGTCATTCACTCTCCGGCCAGGTTTCATTTTCGGTTCGGATCGGTTTGGTTTTTAATGCCTTTTTGTTTAATGAGTTACAAATTTGGTTTTTTCAGTTGTTTAATGGCTGACAGCATTATAGATTAGTGGCCGAAAGTTTTTCTAGTCTCCCCTCCATGTCATTTACATGATCTGGGAACTGTCCCTGCCCCGCGGCCCTTTTTGTCGTCCGTCTGTCGCCGTCTCTTGCTTGTATCTTGTATCTGTATCTGGCTACTTGGTGGGTCTATGTATCTGTATCTTGGAGAGTGGAGTATGTCTCTGCTAATGTGTGTTTTTTCTGGGCTAATAGCTGCCGGGCAGCCAATGGGAATTTGTGTTAATTGTATGCTCGTTATGAATCTTGGTTGGCATTTTAAATTATTGCAGAAGAGAGTCCAAATACCATTCAAATTCATAATTTATGGTTTTCATTTCCCTCCAGAGATTACCTATAGATTTGTATAGAAAATCCCACGATAACCTGTTGCTTTTAATTGGCTTGGCAATGTTTGAGAAAGAGCCTTATTTGGATAATTTACTTAAGCAAATCTTGGCAAAAAGTTTTCCAGCTCATTCGACTCTTCGACTTTACGCAACTCGCCTCCGATTAGCATATTGAGAAGAGAGAACGAACGGTTGTTTCCCTAAGAGATTGCCTCATTCCATATTAAAAATTCATAAGCTCGACTGTCAGGCCTTGAGATACATTTGAAATTCAAGTGCCCCGGCCCAGGCCCAGCTCGGCTGGCACACGCGCATCGCTAAAAGTGTCAAATTGGCAAAAGTGGACTTGGATGTGGATGTGGACCTGATGGGGGAAAGAAGTCGGCTGGAAAACAAATATGTACGGCAGAGGATGCCTTCCGAAACAAACTTCTGATGCCGAGTGTGAGTGCGAGAGTCTATAAGAAATTGATATCATTTATCAAACTGACACATACAGAATGAGTGAGCCGAGTGAGTGGGGCAGAGTCTGAAGCGAATCTCTTCTCTGAAAACTTTTGCAAATGAGGCAGCAGCAGTCGGCGGCAAACGCCACATAAATAAACATGGGATGGTGCCCCTTTTTTTCGAGGGGCTGAGCTGATGGTAGGGGGGTGTGGCATACGCCTAATTGAATTCAACAGTGCGAGAGTAAGCGAGAAATACATAAATAATCGAAAGAGATCGCATCACACAGCAGCTCTGCCACAAAATTAGTTCATTAAAGAAGTTCAGAGCCAAACAAAAATTTGCATACGACTGAAAAAAAGATGTGGTGGCACTCTCCCCCGAAAACCTCTAAAAAAGAAACGCACAAAAGCGAAAAATAAATGTAAATTAAAGTAAACAATGCAAAGAGCTATTCAAATTGTTTTCTTTTTTTTATATTATTTGTATCTGGGCCACCCACTCACACCCCCACTTCGGAGAAGAGAGAAAAAAGTTCCAATTGCCAAAAACTTCAAAAGTCAGCAACATGCAACATGAATATCAAAATCAGAAAGGGAATAAAAATAAATATAAAAAATACTAAAGGGCGGTGGACTGGACCAGAAGTTGGTGTATTGTTGGGGGAAAACGAGTGCAGCAAATCAATGCCCAACAACAAAAGCAGTAACTATGAAAGCTGCGTGTCAGGGCCAACACACACAGCCCATAGCTGAAGAGAGAGTCCCAAAAAAAATGTTCAAAAAATATATATACAACTTGTATGCAACCCCAACAACAAATAATTCCAGGAATCCCTCGCAGTGAAGAGCCTCAAACCCCTATACCCCCATACCCCAACCTCCAACCCACTTGTAATAAAAAATATTTTCAATAATAAAGTGTATTAAGTTGTGAAGTGCACACACATCCATACACACTGAAGTGAAAATAAATGAAATGTGAACCATGGAAAAGCTTCGAAAAGCAATAAGAGTGAAAAATTCTCTGGTTCTCGTCTCTGCTTGTTTTTTACGTTATTTACAAAACAAAGAAATACAAAAAATGGGGAAAAATGTTATGGAAAAAAATCCTATATAAATGAAAAGTGGGAGTGAGTCGCGTGTAAATACAAATATAAGAGTTGGAAGTTGAAGGAGTGATGGGGGCGGAGTTGGAGACAACTCTGGATAGGTGGGTAGGTAGAAACTACATACTACCGAATACCAAAACGAATCTCGAATCTCGGTTACGAACGCATGAATGTGTCAATGGCTCAAACCGATTTATACAGCATATTAAATTCTGACATCAATGTTTGATTGTCCCTACATGCATATATAAATGAAAAGTAATAAAAAAAAATCGAGAGGAAAAAGCGATGTAATGGGACTAGAGGGAGAACCCAACCCAACCCCAACCCAATTCAGTACTTTCCATGAAATTGAAACTCATTTGAGTCTCAACTCATTTGTTGGCCAGCTTGAAGGTTGGATTGTTGTAGTTTCACGTTTAAAGAGATTACATTGAAATTGAAGTGGTTTGGTGGTGCACCTTTGCCACGAGGTTCCCTCTGGAGGGCTTCTCTATATGGTATGTGTGTATTTTCAGAGTGACCCGAAGCTTTATTCTTCAAATCCATTGTTGTTGTTTGACGAGAAATGGTCTGGGTCTGAAGCGAATTGGATTTAACCTCTTTCTCTTCTTTTTTTTTTTTTTTATTTTTTTTCGAGCAAGTCTGCAGAGGTGGATGCATGGA